ATTTCTCCCACACCCATTTTTGGATCAAGTTGAAACTTTACACAATTATTTATTGTACCTAACAAAACATGAATCAATTCAAAAATTAACAAATAATTACTGGTAATTAATTGTTTTTTTTTATACCAAAAAGGGAAATCAATTTTTACGTATTAACAGATATGGATAAATATGTGGGATTTGTCCCCTTAAATAATCTTTTTTTTTTTCTTTTAGACATTGTGCTTGTATTTAAAGCGGTAGCTTTGAATTTAGCACTATAGAGTGCTGTCTAACTCTAGCTTCAGTGTTTAGGTGTAAGGAATATGAGGACAAGAGTTTTAGATTATTAAACATCTTGTGCTTTTTTTCCTTCCGTTTCATCCATAACTTCTTAAATAAAATGTTATGAATAACTTCTTTTGAACAATTAAAACGTAGTTAGAACTAAACCCATCTTGACTCGGCTAACATAAATTCCGCCTATGCTGGTGTTATGTGTAAACACACTTTTAGTTTGTTCCCCTTGTTTACACTAAATATTACGCACATATTCTGGATAACTTTACTTTAAGCAGTTCTATTAACTTAAGACTAATTGTCTTAATTGCGTCTTTGAAATCAAAGAAATAATTTATCTTGAAGTACTTGTAATGTGATTGGACAAGAACGTTAAGTGTTTAAACATTAGAATAAGCAATGCAATAAGTTGTAGATATTTCTACTTTTTGAAAGAAATGGCTGGTATCAATATAAAAATCTGGGTATTGTTAAAGCAGGAAGACATCACACAATTTCCTTATTTTCATCACGTGACCATCAACTGGATGTGGATGCTGTGTGGGTGCGAGCAACATAAGCTATTCTCTTGTAGGACGTAATTATCTTCTGCTAAGAAGGAACGTTCGTAATTAAGGCATATAAGTTTATTATTATAAGTTCGTATTGTTTGCCAAACCTCTACATATTTCCCTAGAATTGGCTTGATTAGCCACACCAGGTTCCGCTCCGTCTCATGACAACATAGAAGATTTAGTAGTACAAGAAAATGAAATTCAAAAACTATTATCCAACACCAAACCAAATAAAGCATCTGGACCTGATGGTATTCCAGCTAGATTACTCAAAGAACTAAGCAATGAGCTAGCCCCAGTGTTCAAAATACTCTTTCAGGCATCGCTTAACCAGGGCAGAGTACCAAAGGACTGGAAAGAAGCTAATGTCACCCCCCTATTTAAAAAAGGAGAAAAATCTGATCCAGGAAACTACAGACCAGTATCACTTACCAGCATCACATGTAAAATCCTAGAACACATAATATGTAGCAACATCATAAACCACTTAGACAAACATAATGTTATCACCCCATACCAACATGGCTTTAGGAAATATAGATCATGTGAAACACAACTAATAGGACTAATTGATGATTTTTCTTAAGGTTTAGATAATAGTGAACAAATAGATGCTATTTTACTAGATTTTTCTAAGGCTTTTGACAAAGTTCACCACCATAGTTTGCTTAAAAAATTAAAATATTTCGGCATTAATGGTCCACTGCATCAGTGGATTAAAGATTTTCTGATAGGGAGAGAACAAACTGTAATAATAAATAGCTCTAAATCAACACCAATAACAGTAAACTCAGGTGTACCTCAAGGAACAGTCTTGGGTCCACTACTATTTTTAATTTACATAAATGATTTACCAAATTGCATTAGTTCAGGAACAAAAGTCAGATTATTTGCAGACAATTGCATAATATATAGAACAATAAAAACAACACAAGACACAGATATTTTACAAAGAGAATTATATGAATTACAGCAATGGGAATCAAATTGGAGCATGTCTTTCCACCCAGAAAAATGTCAGTTGTTAAGAGTAACAAAAAAACTAAAACAAATTAATTCCACTTATCTTATTCATGGCAAACCAGTAACACAGACTAAAAACGCAAAATACCTAGGTGTTATAATACATGAAAAACTGTCATGGAATCCACATATTGATGAAACTACAAAAAAATCCAACAAAGTATTAGGATTTATTAAAAGAAATTTCTATAAATCAAATAAGAACATAAAACTAAAATGTTATTTAACCTTGGTTAGGTCAATAATAGAATATGCATCCACCGTTTGGGACCCCTCAACTCAAGAAAACATTAAGAAACTGGAACAAACACAAAATAGAGCAGTGAGATTCATAACAAACGAATATTCACATTTGACTAGAGTAACACCATTAATAAAATCACTAAATTTAGAAAGCCTTCAGGACAGAAGACTCATAAGTAAAGTAGCAATTATACATAAAACACTGAACCATAATCTTCAAATACAAAAACAAAACTTAATAAAATACTCTGAAAGACACAAAAATAAAGGTACATTCCTCGTCCCCTATGCTAGGACAAATTTGTACAAATACTCCTTCTTCCCTAGTGCTATTAGAGCATGGAATGGGTTGCCTGAGCTAGCCAGAAAAACCAGTGACTTGGCAGAATTTAAGTCATTGGTTAATATGCATGACTAAATGCATGACGCGTAGGACGTAATCATCTTCTTTTTTGAAGTAACGTCTGTATTATATAAGATAAGATGACGAAACCAAACCAGTGACTCATCTGGGTGCATCCATTGGCTTCAGAGACAAAAGAAACACTTATATTAAGCCTAGTTGTATTAATTAGTTTGGATCAGCCATGTAATAAAATTTGTTATAGATCTAGATTAACAATAATAAATCTGTGCGGCTAGAAATAATTTTACCAACTGTTTTTGTTTTGCGCAATTTTATGTTTTAAGCTTTCTCAAGTGATCTTAGATCACTTGTCGGAATAGTTGGGAAAGGAGAGAAAGAAGGAGGTATATATGTGGATGTTACGTAATCGCTTTTTAAATGTATTTTATTTTTTAAAAATGTTGTACAACTTGAATTCGAACTCGAGGGCTCAAGTCGATACATCAACCACTGTGCCAGCGAATCGCTTATGAAAATAGAAAGCTTTATATGTATCTATTGTTAGCTTCAAACTTTAAAACCGGCGACCTACAAAGAATAAAGGGGGCTAATTCAATGTGTAATACCGCATTAGTCAAGTACTATTTCTTTCCCTTGTTTGTATACAATCTTTTTTTTTTTTCCCAGACAGAGACAGACAACTTTTTCAGTTGTCCAGGTCTAGTTTTTTAAAACACCAAGATGGCCTGAAATATTTTGAAATCATATGTTTTTCTTGTTAACTGGTGTAATTATTTCTTATAATTTGTTTACATGTATATGCCAGTAGGCTACTTAAGTTGGGAACAAATAAACAATCATGTCTTGCATTCACTGGATTAGATCTTTTGTAGGCCGTAATATTAAGTCCTTGTGAGGGTTCGCCTTTGAAGTTTCTGTGCAGGTAGATCCCACATAAATCTAATGAGGTCTGAGGATCTTCCTGGTTAAAAGTCTGCTATTGGTCTAGATATCTACATTCCAAGTTCAGCAAACAGAATAGCTCTGTGTTTCAAGCCCTGGCATGACTCTATAGATCTAAAGGATGATGTACCTAACAGGACCGGACAGGAGGAGAGGGAAGGGCTAGCTTGAGCTTTTGTTTAAAGAAATAATAACTTGTGTTTTTACTTAACATGTGACTTATCCATAGACATCACAAGCTATAGCTTAGAGCCCTCCACTTGCCTTGCCCCCCCCCCCTTATAGTTTTGAAGCAAAAGCTAAAAAAATAAATCGCCTTATGTTGATTACAAGTAGCCCATGTCTCAAATAGCTCATGGCCTTCTCGTATCTAATTCGGGTCTTGGATTGGCTCACATGAGAGCGTTACAATTTTTTCAAGCTGCCTAACCCCCTCTACCCCTTTTAAACACACTCACCTTTTTTAATCTCACTGCCTACCAGATACTTTGTGACTATTTTTTCACCTACTAAATAATTCTCCCACCTCACAAAGAAAAATATTGATTTTTCTAGACTGAAATCCGACATAATAAACAAACAAATAATTGAGAGCCCTAGATGCATTCGTTTTTTAATGCCGCTATTGTCTTTTTTTAAGCGAATCGTTGGTTGCAGTGTGCTCCCTTGACGGATTGGGTTAGTTGGCTTGGTTACAATTCTGAAGAGAATTTGAGTACGAGTAGAACGATACTATGGATGTTTTAAGTCGTCAAAAGGCAGCATGGAATCCATATAGTCCGATACTAACAAATCCAAATTATGGTCACAGCAAAGCCAATCGATAGTAGGCCTACAAAGGAATCTATTGCTGCACCACTCACCAGTCTTATCAGTACATTAGATTTCCCAGTATTTCGCGAAGTGGCCAGCGAAACTAGAATAAACACTTAATTTCAAGTACATGGGTATTGGCCACACGCACTGGCCATTTTGCGAATAAGACGGTCAATTATAAATTTAGATACCAAAGAAAAAAAAAAGGCATGCTCTGATAAGATTTCCATTTCTGTATCTAATCTTTTGTTTATGTGTATTATTCAGTCCGAATTATTTGCACAGGTTCTATAATTTATTAGTAACTGTAGGGGAAAGCCTACATCTCTATCACGCTGCTGCTGATCAGGCAGTGTTGACTTGCATTAAGATAATTTAAATTAATAAGCAACCTAACCTGCAACTGCTTCAATGAATGCGAAATAAGATTTAGTTAAATTTATTGTCTATCAGATTAGATTTAAAGTTTTTTCTTTCATCTATAAATATGACAGCAAGTGTTGATGGAGCAGATTTCAAGTTTTTTTTAGACCAGTGATTAGCAGTAAAAATGTGAGAGTGTATTGAGTAGGTCTACATGTAGTAATAAATAAGTGTATTGAGTAGATCTACATGTAGTAGAAAGACGGTTGACAAATCTAAAATGGTGCCCCAACGGTCCAACAGACCAAGGGAAATGTGAAGTTGGTGAAGGTGATTTGAAAGAAATTGTCTACGAAGAAAGAATGATCATGTTTTTTATTTATTTGTTCAGTGTAAATAAAAAACAGCACACTGTTTAATATTGCCATTTTTTTTTTATTTTATATTTACAAAAGCTCAACAGATCAGGCATGGAGTTATGGAGCTGGTGACTTTATTTTGTAGGGATCTTAGGTCTAAAGCAAATACATGTACTACATACTTTTTTTTTTGTTCTTGTGATACAAGTTTAATTCTCAAGAAATTGATTGTTTAGGTAATGCATATGGGGAAAAAAAGTTTTAAAAAAAAACGCAAAATAATAAATAAAAAAAAAACATAATACACAGTTCTAACTAATTATTCAGTCATCTTAAAACAAATAAGAAACAAAAATTTCTTTTCAAAACTAAATAGTAAAAAAACAAAAGGGGGGGGGGGGGGGGGGGGGGGGGGGACAGTTTTCTACAGCAGTGAAAATGTTTAACTTTTATATAGGTCATTACTTACACACAATTAGCTACAACTAGATTGATAGGGTTAGGAGATGAAACTGGACAAAATTTGACATTGCAGTGCCGAATTTTCAGATAGGAGCTTCTTACAAGTCCTTAAGGAAAAATAAGTTCTGTAACTTAATGATTTTGAAGAACATGCTTCTCTATCCTCAATTAATGACAAGTTCTGTATCTCAAGGGTTTCAAGAAATATGCTTCTATGCTCAATTATTCATCATTGCAAAGAAAGCATTAAATAAATAATTTTTTTGTCAGACTCAAAACTGACTCACATCCATCACAAAAATGTGAATTTGGTTTATGTTTTTTTGGGCTATTCAACTTAAACTTGAAATACATAATAAGCATAGAAGAGTACAACAAATATGAAATAGGAGAATCCCTGATGGATAAAACAAACAAACAAAAATTAAATCTATAAACCAACAAGTCAAAACCATCACAAACATCACTTCTTGTTTATACTTTGAAATTCTTAATTTGTAGCTTATGTCAGATTAGAACCAAGTCCAGCAAGGTTTCTTTTTTTGTTTTAAAAAAAAAGCTCCAATATAGATGATTAGTCTATAATGTAAAAAGCTACACACTTATAGACTGGGCTGTCAAGTAAGGTAGAACTTTAATGGTACTGCCTGTTATTTAACTCAAGATGTGTAATCACTAAAAGCTGTGTGGGATAACATTACTAGCTTGTGATTTCATGTGGGTTCAAAAACTAAGTGGGATATCTAAATGACTTTTATGACTTATAAGAACAAAAAAATTTCTTTAAGGGGATTGGGAAAACTACTTATCAATTGAAATTCAACCTAAACACAAGTGAGTCAGAGTACATGTGGTGCTTAAAAATTGTCAGCTTTATACAATTATAAGAATTGAAAAAAAAAAAAAAAACTGTACACCAGATGAGATAGTCTCACACGACATGAAAAACAAAAAAAAAGTGACAACATACAGTCAGTTCTTTAAGATAAAAGTGCAATGAGTAATTACAAGTATTAACAAATATAACACAGTAATATAACAATGGTCACTGATATTGCATCAAGATTTTTTTTGTCTTCTTCAGTGCACATGGGCTAAATAGGCTTAACTTCTCAAAATGAACATGTTCTATTGCTTGTGAATAGGTACATTCATTTGAATGAATGATACAAGTAGGATACAAATCTATATAATTAGGATAAACCAAAAGTGAATATATTGAAAAATAAAACATAATTTACGTATTCATAACAAAACAGTCAAACTTGATTCTCATAAATACTGAAGTACCAAAATAGTCATTAAGTTTTGTAATCAGGCTACACCTGGACAGTGCTGTGTAGTTCACTATATCAAATTTGACTGCTAGTGGGTTTTTTTAATATGTTAACTATTTGACATTAAAAAAAAAAAAGTTGCATTGCACTTCTTGTGTTGTTTTTTTTTGTTTCTACTTACTCAAGTCTTAATATATATACAATAAAAATTGTAGAATTAATTACATTACAAAAAAATGCAGCATTTCAATGAAAGTTGTATAACACACTACAAGATGGTTTAGATTGATTTATTTCATTTGTTTAGTACTTTTGATTCCACAATTACATTGGATTTTAATTGTATCTTAGGTAATTATCTACATATGTTTAACAAATAGTTGCAATGAAGTGGTGGCTTTTGGTTTAAAAAAATTACTTCAATAGTTACAAGCATTCCCTGATAACAAGGTAGTATTTAGATTGAAACATTTAGCGATGACTAGGAAAAACTATTCTTCAATAACAAACTAGAAGTATTTTTTTCATAGCCACAATTATTTTTGGGAAATGTACAAATAGCTGAGATATAAATGAGGACTAATTATAATGACAAAGTAAAACATGTTAATTTTAGATTAAGATTGTCCTTAAAAAAGTGGATTATCATTTTCCTTTTTTATTTATACTATAAAATTTGTTTTGATATTTTTGTTGCTATTAATACCCACCACTTGTAAATAATTTGACTTAGTCTTCTATTAAAAGATCTAAACATACTATGCATTGAAAATATTATGTGAGGCAGTGCACAAAACAATCCTTCCAGATTTAAAAGAAAATCACAGATAAATCCCAAACCCAAATATTGAATTCTTTTCTCGGGTGTATTAAAGAAGAAATCACAAGAAAGCTTCTCTCAGCCTTTTTAAACAGTTTTCCAATTGATTTTTCAACAAGAAGATAAACAGAATAAATAAAAAAAATACTTTAAAAAATGAAAACAGAATCTTGGTAGAAGGTCCAGGAATGAAATGTCTAAAAGATTGTTGTCATCATACAGAGTTATCTGAAAGAAAAAAACAATATATTTTTTTGTGCGTTTAGTTGCTAATTAAAAATTTTAAATCAAAACATAAAAAAGAAAAATGGGTTAGGTAATAATTAAGGATAAAAAAGACATCGAAAGTTACACTACATGTAGGTCTGCAATAGCCACTTGAAATACTGCACCCTTCTTTATTCTTCAAGATCTAGGGCAATGCCATATTATAAAACAAAAATGCCAGAGTAAGCTTGACTGGAATTGAATGATATATTCAAACAAAACATTACATGGACTTTGACCCTCAAATTATTTCTGAAACAAGTGCACTAAAAAGAATTATTCAGAAGCTGATCAAGACAAGAACCAAAATCAAACAGTTGTAATAGAACACATCAAGATTCTCCATAGAATAACAAGGATTACAACAAAACATGCCACCAATTAAAAGCTTGAGCCTCAGGCCATTCTCATTATTATTATATCTCTTTTAACACACACACATACAAAAAGAAAAAATACTAAAATATTTTTAAAAATATAAAAAAGAAGAAACTAAAATGTTATAAATAATTTCTAATTTCTTTATGTAAGTTGAAAAAAAACAAACTATTACCATGATACCACCATCTTGTTTTTTTAGGATCTTTGCTGCACGTTCTTACATATAAAGCATTATCAGGAGGTAATTTCTGAAGGAATAAAAAAAAGAGAAACATTTTAGAGAACAGCAATTAATATTGTGTTTAAACCTAAGAATTAGAAAATCTTCATTAAAAGTGTAAATTATTTTGTTAAGCGTTTTTCAAAACAATGTTAGTTACAAAGGATAGGAAGATAGAAGTTACAGTATCAATGTCAGGAATTTAAATCCTGCAATTACCATGAGCATCAAAACAGACTTGATTTTATCTTTCTTGATGTGCTTTGTGTTAAATGGAAAATATTTAATGAATAATGTATGTCTTCTTTTATTATCAGAATAAACTTTTGTTTCTAGTCCTACTAATTTTAGATGTTAAGAAAAGGTACTTTGATTTTAGTTGGTTCAAACATATTTAATATTATTAATCAGTTAGAAAACTTACCTTTTCTTTACAACTAGATAGCATACTAACAATGCTGAGACATACAGACTGAACAGACAATGCAGGCGACCAATCTTCTGTTAATATGGACAAGCATATATGACCATTACTGTAGATGTGTGGATGGACTGGAATGTTGGGCCCAAGAAACATTACCTGAACACAAAAGTTTTAGGGAAGAGAGTAAAGAACAAATAAAATAAATACAAACTTAATGTTGATAATGACAAGAAAGACTTTAGTTAAATGAAAAAGAAAAAGCATTATAATACTAATGCCTAAAAATAAAATGAAAAATTTAAATGCACACAAAATAGCATAGATAGAACACATAGAACAAAAAAAAAAGGCCCATAGTCTTTTCAAATTCTAAATTTTACAATTCAAATAATTCTGAACAATTTTTATTTTTTTTCTGAACAAAAGACACTATATATTACCAAAGTAATTCTTTAATAAGATTACTAATACATTTACGTTAATTAGACATTTAACTTCACCAAAGTTATTTGTTTTCCTAGCTGATTCATACACCTCTTTTAATGCTTGAATGACACTTTGAAAGATGAGTTATTTTACCAGTGTCTTATAGCATAAAAAACAAGAAATATGTTTCTTTTTCCATTTTGACTAAATATTTTGTAGATGTTTATGTGCTACTTGTATTGTAAGATTAGTTTCTCTTAAGTTTGGTCATTTTTATCAAGGATGTCTTTCTAAGCTTTGGAAAATGAAAACTGAGGTGCAGATTTGAATATCCAGGGACAAATCAGTCTATTTACTGAGACCTCTCAAAAATTATAAATATAGAAACCCAAATATGATTGATTTTGTTGCAAAATAGTGCCTAGGCCAAATGCAATTCATATATTTAAATTAAATACAGTAGTGGTCCTAAACCATTTCTTGAAGGACAATTGAGTTAACTGTTATTGGTCTTTATTTAGTAGTTGCTCTGAACTATTTTGAAATATGGACCCATTGAACCAATGTAGACTTGCAATTGTTATAAAATGCCAAGACATGTTAATTACATGGGTTTGAATTATTTAAATATGTCAAGTAAAATATCATCAATTTGCTTATCATTATCCAGAGTTCATTTTTTAAGGCTGAGACCTTGCCAAATCTGTCACTACATCTTTATTTTGAGATTTTTGACAACCCAGTGCATTGGCTCTTCTTGTTTATACTCACTCAGACATTTACCAATATCAAAGTTTTGGATGGAATTTGAGGAAAACACTATTTTTGTGGGTAAGAAAATCCCTAGGGTTTGCAAAATATTTTGAACCTATGTACACATAATCTAATGGGTTTACTATAATTTACTTATAGTTAAATAGATATGTTTGTTTCATTGTCAATGTTGCTGAATCCCAATATTATGTACAAATTGATGCAATATACAATTTTCTATAAATTTATCTATTGCAAAAACATCAGAATTAAAATTTGGGATATAATGCATTGATGTTACCTAAATTTTTATCTTGATTAAAATTAACTATGATGTATCTGTTTCCTGGTGGTGATGCTATCTTT